GTGCTGTTATTTGCATCTAGTAACCTGCTCTAGGTGACCCTGCCTTGGAAGGGGGGTTGGACTAGGTGATCTCCAGAGGTCCCTTCCAACCCTAAGGATTCTATGATTCTGTGATTTGCCCCAGCACAGGGCCTCATAGTCACCCTGGGCACCCTGTGAGAGAAGGCCCTAAGTAGGGGTGAGATTTTCTGCGGTACATCCTGAGGGAGCTGCACAGAGACCTGAGGGGAGCACAGGTAACACGGACTTGGAGGCATCTGGTTTACTTTAGGGGCTGAGCACACTGCCCAGGGCAGCTGTCCTGGGGCAGCCGAAGGTCCACCACAGATAGTCATAGAATCATAGAGTGGTTTCAGTTGGAAACGACCTTAAAGATCATCTATTTCCAACCCCTCTGCCATGGGCAGGGACACCTTCCACTAGACTCCAGGTTGCTCAGAGTCCTATCCAACCTGGCCTTGAACACTTCCAGGATGTTCTCTCTCACAACTTCTCTGGCACAAATAGTGCCAGGTCTCGTGGCTTCAACTCTTGGAGCCATCCTACTCCCTGAGCCACTTCAAACCTAACCTGTGGGAATGTTCAGGCAGAAGTGTGGTGAGAAGGGACGCAGATAAAGTGACAGACAGAAAGCATACCTGAATTGCCCTTTACAAATATTAAACGTAGCTGTTTTACCCTGGTCAGCCATGGTTTGCTGCCTGCATTCCCCCACAAGGCAGGGCTCTGCACTCAGTACAGGGTTTAATAAAAAAGCAAAAGGAAAAGTGAAGGAAAGGCATGGACAAGGTAACTGCAGGAACCAGATTCAGAGAAGTTTACGTAACAAAAGCAGGTCCGTAAGTTTGGGAGACAAGTTACACCTGAAGCTCTTTTCAAAGTAGGGTGTTTTCCACATTTTAAAGATTTTACAACATCACTGGAGACTCGAGTACTCCCAGATTATGGAGAGCAGAGTGTGTTCAGCAAACCTGGCAGACAAGTCTGAATCACAGCCAAGGAAGCATAAAGGCAGGAGAGAGAACAGGTCGGTTCAACGTGCTGAAGTGAAGCTAGCTAGGCTGGAGAGGACTTCTGAGGTATAAGGCAGCATCCCTATACTGGGGTAGGAGTGACAAGATGAGAACTGAACTGAAGCAGTAGGCAGCAGCTCCCAGCAGGAAACCTTCCTCCTCAGAGAAGCTCCAGAAGGGTGAGGGATCCCATCTGCAGGTGTAAATACACAAAGAAAGTGGGAGAGAAAGCACTGAGGCATGTGTCCTGCGGGTAGACAGAGCAGGCACAGAGCCAAGAGTGGCTTCCACTACCACAAATGTTTCCAATGCCCACAAGTGTGGTGCCCTTGATCCCAGTCACAGCAGCTGCTGGTATCTGAGCAATGCAGACTTGATAACAGTAATACCAGGCATTTAGGTCTGGCTTATGCTTTCCTTTAAGTGTTTACAATCTTTGGGGAATTCAGAGTGTGGTGTACTGTGGAAATTAAGCCCTCGAGAAAGGTTATTTTTGGAGGATTCCAGGGAAGGAAAGCAGCTGAGCTAACAAAAAGTACTCTGATGGTCAATCTAGTGGCACAGATGTGGGTGCGTCAAAAAAATCCAGATTAATGAGCCAGTCAAGTTAGCTGAAGTTAACTGATCAAGGTAAAGGAGACCTAGGCAAAATTAACTCTTCCACTCTGATCACTCCTTATGTTCTCACAACCAAGCTATGAATTGTGCCTTGCTGAATCTTCTCATCTTTCATAACATATCAGAGATAGTGGCCTTTCTCGTCTGTCCACCCAGCTAAACTCTTCCATCAACTTATATTTTGCTTCCTCTTCTCTGTTTTTTTACGAAGAGGACCCATGACAGTGCCATACAGCAGACAGATGGACCCTGCTCACTAGTCTTGCACTACGAAGCGCTCCAGCCAGTACAGTAACTAAACCAAACATTTAAGTTGTTACTACAGGATGAACATGCTTCAACTGGTCTGTTGGCCATTTCAGCTGCCTTCTAGTTTTGATCTGGTAAAGTAAAGTATCTTCAAATATGTTCATGTCTTCACTTGTTAAATTGCTTTTACACACAGTCTGGAAAACAAAGATCAGTCCATGAAGACTTTTGTTCTTCAGTCTCTTTGCCCTTTGTTTCACTCTCCTCTGCCAACACTTGTTTTTCTTTTGCTTTAAAAGACTGAGCAGAAGCTTCCAATTTCTTTATAACATGTTTCTTTTGTGTTCAGCTCATTGCAAGAAAGTGACGTTTCTGTAGGTTTTGTTATGTGACCTTTGCAAATTCTAAAGCATCTGTGTCTAAACTATGATGAAGTTTTGTATTTCTACAATTTTGTGCTTGTTTTGACTTCCCTACTTTTTACCAAAGTCTGATAGTAATTTTTCATCCTTTGGTTCTGTCATACTGGGTAATATGCATATCCCTGTAAGTCTGCCAGTGATTTTCCACGCTGCAGTGGTGTTACTCTGTAGCTGAACAACATTAAATATAGAACTGTATTGAATTAGTTGGATCTTGGGAGTTGCACTATATAGATTCTGCATCTCTTAGGGTTTTATCCAAGATTCCCAGAACATTCTCTAAAGTGTCCTGAGCTGAAACCTAAAGGTTTTCACAAGAATCAGGAACTTCCTGTACTCATTGCCTTGACTTTGATCAATTGCTAATGTAACTGGGAACTTGAGGTCCAAGTGCTTGATCATCAGCACTAAAGTCACTGTATTTCCACAAGTCAACATTTCTGGAAAGCTATTAGGGTAGTTCACATTTTTCAAAGGCAGACAAAGTAAGTCCTGTAGAAGTACAGATCCATATCAACGTATTATTTCTTTCTTCTTTAAATGACCACAGAGGGCTTTTCTAGCATCACAATTTGGGCACACAGTCTGGATTCGTTGTTTGCAAAGCCTCTTCAGTTTTCTTCCAAACACTTTCCAGTCTTTCCTGTGGCCCCCAGATTCCATGGAAAGTCTGATGCAGCTTGAAACAACATTCATATTCTCTTGGACCCAATGGTGACTGGGGTCCCCAGAGCACATTTTTAATGGAATCCAGTCTCTAGTGGCTCCTGTGACTTTGTCTTCATGTTTCCCCTCCTATTGCTCCAATCGTTACTTCTTTGGAAGAGACTTCATCCACAGCCAAGCTTTGCCACAAAACTTTGGTCTTTGGCACATTGCCCCGCTCTATATAGACCTCCTCCCTGTGTTGCTGAATGTATGTAAACATACATTTTACTATTATTTCTATGTGGACAACTCACAAATCACCCTTTCTGATTCAAATCTCATTTTGTTCCTAAACACCCTTTCCCTCAGAACTTTCTGAGGAAGACTAGCGTTGCTCATCCTTACCTTGGCTACAGCAGGATGATTAATACTGTCTAAATCTCATTCTCCTCCTTTCTTTTTCAATCAAGGTGGAGAACACAATCTTCTCCTATTTCAGACCCATAAGCCATGCTTGGTCTTCAGCTCTGAATTCACCTTACACGCTCACATCCACGCTCTGAATGGCACCTTGTTGAATTTTTTCTGCGTAACGTTTCGAAGATATGGACTTTCTGATCCATAACCTCAGCCAAACTATTCCACTTGCTTCCTTTTCTCTGGTTCTCACAAAGACAGTATTGCACTTTTCATGTCCATTCCAAGTGCTTCCAGAAAGAGATTTTTTTTTTGTGAGTGATTGACCTTGCTGTGTCACTTCAAGTTTTGCATCTTCCCAATCTTTCCTGACATGCCTTCCTCCTCTCCTAGCATTTCTGATTCATCATTAAGACATCAGCTCCTCCTACACCCAGTTGGCCTATAATATCAGCCTCCAGCTCCTATTTATTAGTGTTTCAAGTACTTCTGTGCTTTCTTCTATGCTTCCTTAAGGCATGAAAGGACTTACACATCAAAAAGAAATTTGGGAACCATGAAAGAATATTAGACTACACCATAAAATTTGCAGCTATGACAACTGAACTTACCCATGGCAACTTCTCTACAGAGACACAGAACGGGCATAAATATGAGATTGTAAAAGAAAACATGATGTCGATGAGTGTATTGGGATCAGCAGCAGCACTGCCATTCTTTGGTTGAAAAGTGAAAATAAGTTTGCCAGGAATGGTCAGAAAAAAGGGCCAAGAGCTGCATAGCTTCAAGACCTTAAAACCAAATAGTTGCCTGTAGGGTGCACTGGGAAGACCATCTCTGAATTATTGCAGCTTGTTAAATGCGTGGAAGAGATTGTGTAACAAGTTAAATATATCATCTGCTTAGTGGTCTGCATTTACATATGGTGGGACTTGATGACTGAGGTTGTCCCTGG